GTGAACATTTTAAATGGGGCGTGGATCCATCTCTCTCCCTGTCCTCAACTTGTTGTTTGTTATTACGCTCTGTTGACGGAACGGGCCAGGTGAGTGCGGCCAACTGAGTGTTGCCAACTGAGAGCGGGCAACTGAGAGCCAAGCCAACTGAGAGCGAGCCAACTGAGAGCCGAGCCAACTGAGAGCGAGCCAACTGAGAGCCGAGCCAACTGAGTGCGGCCAACTGAGAGCATCTTATGAGAGGGCCAACTGAGTGCCAGTAATTTTAATCACCAGAAAAATTTTAGAATATTTTTTTGTTTGTTTTCTTTTGTTTTTCTTACTTTTTACGTTCTAAAGAATGTTCTAAATGGCAGCCGAGATAACTTAAAACATTTTTTGTTTTTTTCCGCCTTATATTGAAGTCTTGGTCTCAATTTTGAGTATTGTGACTTATAGGGTTTTTTGACTAGACCGATTTGGTCGAATGAGGTGTTGTTATTCGAAAGTGCTCATCGAGCTGAGTCGGTGAAACCAAGATTACCGTGATTCGATGCTTCTGAACAAAATTATGAGGAACTGAATTTTCGCTGAAATGACTGTTTTTGTATTGCTATTAGGGGGTAGATCGTAGTTCAAGGTTGAGAATTAGTAAAAAGGAATAGGTTTATTTTACTGGTGCAGAACCCAGCGACTGTTGACACGGAAGAAATAATTTTTCTGAATATTAATATTTAATAAAAAATCCTGGCACTCAGTTGGCCCTCTCATAAGGGGCTCTCAGTTGGCCGCACTCAGTTGGCTCGCTCTCAGTTGGCTCGGCTCTCAGTTGCCCGCTCTCAGTTGGCAACACTCAGTTGGCCGCACTCACCTGACCCCAACCGCTCTGTTGACGTTAATGCCATACTAGAGATCGGAATTTTGAAAAAACCGGGACCGGGAACCGGGAAACGGGTTCTGAAGGTCGACCGGGAGGGACCCGGACCGGGAAAACCGGGAATTCCCGTTCCCGGTTTCATCCCGGTCAAAAATGACCGGGACCCGGACCGGGAAACCGGGAAATTTAAAAAAAATTTTAAATTCATTTAAAAATTTTAAAAAGTTATGGGAGTAGTTATTTATTGAAAAATCTGATTTATAAATAGGAGAATTTAATAAATCAGTAAAATAAATCAATAAAACAAATGTAAATTACAATAAATTAAAACATAAAGCGGATTTTGTAGGGCTAAAGGGATTTGAGAGCTAGAGAATAATTGTGGGATATTAGGAGATTTTGGAGTTTAAGATCTCTCGATAGGCTCCTCAAATTTTTTATATCGCCTATAGGTATTCCTCATTTGATTCCCTTTAATCCCTGCTAATCCACCTTAATGCAGATTTAATTTTTATTTAATCCCTCCAAATCCACTGATCTTTTCTGTGCAATAGTGATATCAAGGATTAAAAGAGATATCGAGAGATTCAAGTATTTGTTGGGTAGTTTTAAGAGAGATTGTGGAGAAAGACCAACCACCTATATCACCTGATATCTATTCAAATCTCTTCAATTGGAAGGCAATTATATAAGTTGATTAAGGCAAATCTAATGGATTTATTTGTTAAAGGGATAAAGATGGCTTAATCACCAGGTCCCTTGATAAAATCTCACTATACACTAAATTCCCTCAACTTTTCCTCCAATAATACCTCCAAATTTCTCCGTTCTCCAAATTCTTCCGAGAAAATTTTGCGAATTTTGGAAAGCCAAACAGCCAAATTTCTTCCGTTTTCAGCGCCGCAGGCGAAAATTTTGAGAATTTTTGTAAAATCTTCCATATTTTTAAGTCAAAAATCAAAACGCGAAGCAAAAATATTTAAAATTAGCTGTTAGAATTTTTCCCGGTTTCCCGGTCCAAAAAAAGCCGGGATCGGGAACGGGAAACGGGAAATGAAAATTAACCTGCCGGGACCCGGACCGGGAAAACCGGGAATTCCCGATCCCGGTTTCATCCCGGCATCTTCAAAAAAGCCGGGAAAAAGGACCGGGAAACCGGGAAACGGGACCGGGTCCCGATCCCGTTCCGATCTCTATGCCATACCCGCCATTTGTTCGCTAACACTATCCAAAGTTTTGGGGTATTGTGACTTATAGGGGTTTTTTTGGCTGGACCAATTTGCCGAATGAGGTGTCATTCGAAAGAGCTCGCCGAGCTGAGTCGATCGCGGGCAGAGAGAAGTCGATCCGACAATCAGGGACCGAGATACAGACCCCTGAAGTTTGAAAAAGAGAAAAGGGGAGTAAGCTCATTTCGGTTGGGGTCAGTTGAGCCCCGCCAGTTGAGCGCCAGAGAACTTTGATCGGCTATAACTTTTTAAGCCTTGATCCAATACAAATAAGTTTTATATCATTCGAAAGCCCTCGATATATATCATTCGAAAGATATATATCATTTTTATATCATTCGAAAGCCCTTTTTTCTAACTGGATGGATCAAGTCTGATCACCGGTTAAAAAGTTACAAGTCGATAAGTATGAAAAACAACGATTTCCTGCACTTATCGACTTGTAACTTTTTAACCAGTGATCTGACCTGATCCATCCAGTTGTAAAAAAGATACCGCTTATCGGCTGGCGCTCAACCGGCCGCGCAACTGGCCCGTTCCGAGCTCATTTTGGAGTAAAAAATTCGAAAAAACAAATAATAGCTCATTCGACTCAGCTCGTCGAGCTGAGTCGAAAGCCCTTTGTGACTGAAAGACAGGTGTGACTGAAAGACCCCCTCGAAAATCGAATGCTTTACAGACAAAATAAAAATTTGTGTGGGGACAGTTGAGTGCGGCTATTTAAGTGCTAGTCGGATTTGATCGACTATAACTTTTTTAGTTTTGATCCAATCTGCTTAAGTATTATTATTATACCATCGAAAGCCCTTGAAAAGCGGTATCTTTTTCCCAATTGGGTGGATCAAGTCTAATCACCCATTATAGAGTTACAAGACAATAAGTCCAATTATTTAGTGTTTTTCACGTTTATCAGGTTATAACTTTCTATTGAGCGATCAGACTTGATCCATCCAAACAGATAAAAGATAGAGCTTTTTGAGAGCTTTCGAATGATATATGATTCATCTTGATTGAATCAGGCGCAACAAAGTTATTGTCAATCAAAACTAGCTGGTGCTCAGTTGGGCTTTTTTGTTTTAAAACGAAATTACAAAATGTCTAAAACAAAATGGTCAAAGGAAGCAAAATCTAATATTACTGCAAAGCATATAAGCAATAAAATTTAATTCAATTTCGCCGAGCGCCGTGGCGGGCGCTTGTAATCTAGTTTCTAGGAGGCAAAAGCCCCAATTGACGGGTGTGTACAGAGCGAGTGTCTAGAGCAAGGGCCAAGTCAACAAGGGGCGCTAGCGGGAACGTTAGTGCTCCTGGTTGTTTAAAGAGCAGGGCAACGGTTCAGGCCCGAAAGGGAGCAGACAAAACCTGCCGCTTGGTCACAGTGTTCAGACAGCACTTGCGAGCATGCCATTCAAACGTTGGTTTGGATTGCTTTTTGAAAAATTTTTTTGTTGGCTTTATCGTCCTTAAATGGGACACGCCTAAAACGGCGCTGGCCATAACGGCGCAAAGCCGTTATGGCCCGCGCCAAGATTGCCTAATCTTATCAAATTTATTATCAAACGCTTCCTCTCATCGAGCTAGAGAGATTGGAACCAAAATTGATAAGGGCCAGATATATTCCAACAAGTTATGGTTTTGCGCCGTTATTGCCGCGCGCCGTTTTGCCAAATAAACGTTGCAAAAATTTGTCTTTTTCTCTGTCTCTCTAATTTTTTAGTTGTCTCTCTTATATTATTTTCTTTTTTTTAAAGAAAGGCTGGAATGTTTGTTGTTTATTTTTCCTTTTTTCTTAAATTTTTTTCTATTTTTCTGTTCAACTTTTAACAATTAAAAAAAAATTTTTTTCAGATAAAAATTTAATAAATTATGAGTTCAGCTACAAGTCCATTATCACCCCCTCTTAGGGCTACAAGTGCACCCATTTCTACACTTAATTTAAATTGTATTTTTTATTTTAAACGAATTTTTGTCGAAATTTTTTTCCTTTTTAAAGCCTTCTCTGATTCGACTTCTGAAAGTTTGTCAATTAATTTTGCTAGAAATAAAAAGGCACAAATGGCAGCTAGAGCTTTGTTTGAATTAGTGCATAATTATGGGGATAATTTGAGAGAGGTTTTTTGTTGAATTTTCTGATATTTAAACTTGCTTAGTTTTCTTAAAATTAAATTAGCTGTGAATATCCTGGCTCCCCTTTTTTCTTCAAAATTCACAAAAAAAATAAAAATGAACTTTGGCTAACTGAACTAAAAGTTTAGATAAATTGTTTCGTGTAGGGTAACTCACGGAACGGACAAGTTCCAGAATTACCAAAGCACGGAACGACCAACTCAACCAAAACACGGAAAAATTTAAACGTCGGAATTTTTTGAAAGATCTGAATATTTTTAAAAAATTATGATAAAATATTCTGATTTTTAAAATATTCCGTGTATTAGTTGAGTTGGTCGTTCCGTACTTTGGTAATTTCGTGACTTGTCTGTTCCGCGTTTTGTCTATTCCGTGAGTTGGAATTTCTTGAGTTAGCCATCCCAAATTTTTCATTGATTTACTTTCAAAAAACGAATTAACCGAAGCTATAAAATACTTTTATAAATACAATTTTTGTTTTTGTATTTTTCTCTGCAGGTTTTATCCGCAAAAAATTGCGGATTTTCCGTAAAACCACGAAAATTTTAAAAATCAAAAAAAAATTTTTTAAAGGGTTGGAAAAACGTGTTGGATTGTTTAATTTATTTATTACGTGCCAATTTACTTCCACAAAAATTATTGGAATTGGAAGATTTTGTGGATATTAGAGGAATTGTGACAATTAAAGAAAAGTTTAAACGTCCACAGATTTTGCCAAAAAAAGAAGAGAGTGGATTGTTTAGTTGGTTGGGGTTAAGTGTTTCTTCAATTTCTAGTGAAACTGATTTAAATAAAAAACAAATAAATGAAGAAGAACAACAATTATGCAATGTTTGTTGGGGGGAAGGGATGTGCAAAAAATGTCCGCAAAAAAATGCGGACATTTTTTGCGGACTTACGGACTAACAAAGAATAACAAGATAAGATAGTAACTAACAAACTGTGCTTTATCTACAATATTAAACACAATAGGTTGCGTACAATAGAAATATGGCTAAGCGCCGAATATGTTGAGACAGAATAGAATAACACTGCGACAATAAGACTAAGACCCCGACTGAATAATAGGAAGGCTTTTATACTAGAACAATACCTAACAGGACTTTTCTTTAACTTTTTTGTATTAGCCTTAAAGTAAATAATTTCCATTTAATATAACTGGGAAGAGTGCTGAATACTAAAAGTCTAGATTTAAAAAGTCCGCAAAAATTGTCCGCAAATTTAGTAAATTTTCCTAATTTTTACCAAGTTTTATTAAAATTTTATCAGAATTTATGAATTTCCGAATTTTTATTTTTTTCTAATTTTTCGGTACCTACTGTTGTCTCCTCCCATTTTCATAGTAAATAGTGGGCAATTAAAATTCGGAAAATCACCACCAAAAATTCTACATTAAAAAATCCGCAAAAATTGTCCGCAAAATTTTTGCGTAATTTTTACGGATTTTTGCATTGGGTTTGGACCTTCTTTCCTTAATTTTAACAAAAAAAATTCTTTAAAAATATTTTCAGTCAGCAATTTCATTAATTTCTGAATGCCATCCAGAACAATTAATAACCGACAGTCGTTATTTAACTACTTCGGCATTTACTGAATTAATAAATAATATTATCCATTGTTCTTTTGCTATAGCCCCAATTCAATCAAAAACACAACAAATTGAGTTAAATAATGAACAAGTTGTTCAAAATTATGAAAGTCAGGGAAGTCAAAGTCAAGGTGCTTTTTAAATTTTTTTTGATTTTTGGGGGAGGTTTATAATTGATGGATGATCTTTTTCTGCCTGACGACTATACTAGAGTAAAGCAGCCGGGCTATAGCTATTTCTCTCCTTTAGCTAGTGCAAAAGGTTATTCGGCGGCTGGGAGCGAACCAGCGTTTTCAGTAGACCGGACTGATGTGTTATCCATTACTCTAAGCCACTGCAAAGCCTTAGGAATTAAATAGCTAGGTGCTTTACACTAGTTTCAAATCTGGATATTTAAATTAATTTTTCTTTTAATTTACATATCAATTAGTGTTTTTTGGCTCTTGTCCAGTTTATGTGTCCCATGAAGATTTTTGCTTCCCATTACGATCTATGCGACTCAGCACACGCGGCCCTTGAGCTAGGCTTTATATAATAAAAAATTAAATGTTATTTTTTAATTTTCGAATATTTTTTCTAATTTTTTCAGTTTTTTATGTGACGCATAAACTGGACAAGAGCCGTTTTTTTTATTTATCCCCAAATTCCCCTGAAAATTTTTTTAGATATTACCTATATTCCTCTTCAATAAGAAACAAAATTTAATTTATTTTTAGACGATGATTCTATTGTCGACTTAAGTTCAGCTGCCGCAGCTTTATTACCTGAAGAACAACAAATTTTAGAAAAACAAATTCCAGAAAATAGCAAAATATCTCCATTAAATTCCCCTTCAAAATCCCCTCCTCCCCCACCTCTTCCCCCTCAATTACTTTCCCAATCCTCCCTTTCAATTAATGAAGATAAAAAATCTGGGGAAGAACAACACCCAATTATTCAACAACAAAATTTAATTTATCAATATTCTCCAATAAAATTAACTTTGGATGAAGAAGAAGCTTTGATTTTTCTATTGGAATTGATGGTGAGGCAAAAAAGAAATTTTTTTTGGGGATAGAGGCTAACCTTTCGCAGATATTTGTTCAAATACTTGTGCGGTCACCATTCAAAGTTTGACCTAGGGTTATTGGCGACCGGTCAATTTTTCCCTTTCCCTATTTGAGCTGTCCATAGGGAAAAATTAACTGGTAGCTAACAGCTAGGTTTAACACTTAAATTTGTTTTTGAGACCATTATGTTTTAACCTCTATTTCCTGTATCGGAACTCATCTTGAGGTTACTTGGATTATTGAACATTCTAGATGAATTATTCTCAATCTGGAAACCCGACAAATTTCTTTATTAAATTTGACTTTCCTTATTAAAAATTTTTATTTGTTGAGAGTTCTTAATAGGGTTGAATAAAACCGTTTAACTAAACGGTATATTGTAAACGGGTTTTTTGGCAAAATTAAACGGAACGGTATACGGGTCTCAGATAAACGGTATACGGTTTTTTCAAAATTAAACGGTTTTGTCCAACTACCCTTCCTTTGTAAGCCAGCCTCATCCTCTGTGTAATTTTTTGGTTTCTTTCAATTTATTTTATAGATAAACATTGTTCTCGAAAACCGCGATCGTTTAGCACAAGTTTGGCCTTTAGTCCGTGATCATCTACAATGGCTACTTAGTCCTGATTTTGCCCAAAACAAACAAATAACTGAAAGATCAATTATTGCATTAATTCGAATTGCTAATAGAAATCTTTTCCGTCTTGGTCATCCACAACAAAATGTAAAAACTCCGCCACCCCCACAACCATTACCTTTTGTGCCTCGGACGGCGTTGACTAAAAGTGTGGTTATTGTTGTGGAAGATGAACAAACACAACAAGAAAATGGTAGACTGTTTAATGAGATTAAATACCGTAAGTATCCTAATAGAAGCCCATGCCCTATTATAAGCCAACCCGATGGGGGTATTGAAAAATATAATCCCATGACTTATATTAGGATATTTGCGGTAATCATCTTTTTTAGTTGATAGATGTAGGATTTTTGAACGGGCATAGGAATTTATAATGAATTTCTGGTTATGTAAGGAAAAGGGAGTGAGATCCACCTGTCTAGTATTAAAAGAGTTTACTGGGTGTGGGTTATCTATTAAAAGTGAAGGTGAGTGTTGAGTCCGGACTTGCAGAAAGAACAATGAAAATAAATAACCCAGCATCGGGTTGGATCGGTTGTGCGTACATATCGGGATTGGGGTGACAAAAATAATTTCTTGTGTGTTTACGTTTGTTCTAAAACATAAAAACTATTCCCAATAGGACAATATACTATCCAAGACCCAGTGGCCGTAGGTCCTGAAATCAGTAGGGTAACTATTGTTACATTGAAATATCCTGATATGTTCGTCCCGATATGTCCGCGTGCCCGGTTGTGCTTCGGTCTGGGCTCATTCCATGTTGGTTCTATTCTATCTCCCATCCAATGAATTTTTCCACAGCATGCACGAACATAGAAAGCTTTTTATAATAGAAAGGATCGCCCCCAGTAGTTTAGTCGGTAGAGCACCTTTAAGAGGAGGTGAGGAGATTAAGAGGAGGTGAGGAGGTTCCTAGAGGAGGTGAGGAGGTTCAAAGAGGAGGTGAGGACGTTCTAAGAGGGGGTGAGGAGTTTAAAGGAGGTGTTGAGGTTTTAAGAGGAGGTGAGGAGGTTCCTAGCAATAACCGAAGCAGGAGGTTGTGTGTTCAATGACTGCTCTAGGCTATCAACTTCCCCTAGTCAGCTCTTCATTTTTATTCATTTATACAGCTTCCTCCCAAACTATTCAACACAAAACTAATTGCTGTGCTGACGATGTTCTTCAATTTATGGGACGAAAAATTCTAGAATTAAGACCTTCTGATTTACTTTTATTCTCACAACAAATTGCAAATGGTCTTCAACAATTGTTAAGAGCAAATGCAGCAAATGTACATAGTGCTGAACACTGGGCAATGTTTTTCTCTATTTTGGAAGCTGTCGGGGCTGCTGCTTATCAAGATGATGATTTTGATTTGGTGGATGTAAATTAATTTTTTCTTAATTTTCTGTTCTAGGCATTCTAATATTTCCAGATCGACAATTTTTTTCATTAGAAACAGAACTGTTTCGAAATTTTGATTTTGAAGGGGTTTTCTTTTGATTTTGCCTTTTTGGTCATATTTTTTATTCTCAGCTCAAAGAGTGGAGTAGAAATAGCTACAGTATCCTAATTTTGATGTTTTACCCCGAATTCGACTTTGTCGATATCGTGTCTGGGGTTCGGAATAAATAAATTCTAAGCTCAGATTCGGATTCAGCACACTCGATAACCTACAAACCTCACAAATGTCGAAAAAGCATTTCTTGTTGATTTTTTTCTAGGGACCAGTAAAGCTAAAGATTACCATATACCTATAAGAAAAATAAGACATTTGAGCTATTATAGGGATAATTTAACCGATTGTGAACTATGCTAATTTTATATAAAAATCTTTAGATTATCCATCCAGTATCCTCTTCTCCTCCAGCTCCTTTAACTTCTCCTCAACAACCTTCACAACAACCCCCACCTTCAGAAAAATCCTCAAGCTATGCAAGCGGCTCTTCTCTATACAAACGTGGAACACTTGTATTAGCTCCAAATTTATCCCGTCACGATTCTGCAGCATTCCTCAAAGTTGTTGAAACACTTGGATTTTTGGGGAGAGATGCTGCTCATATCACACCTGAAAATTTTGGATTATTTATTCATTGTTTAAGAATGATGGTAGAAGCTAGTATGGATGGGGGAAAGTTTGTTTTAAATTCTCCTCATGTAAGAAAGAGAAAGATCCAGCTGGCTAGCATTTAAAACGCTCACTAGGCGGGGGTTTAAGATCTATTAAAAGAGAAGGTGGCTCAGTCGGTAGAGCACCTGTACGTGGTGAGCAACGCGTCTAGCAATGGTCTCAGGATCGAGGCCTGGCCGGGATTAAACTTTTACCTCGCTCTTACTCTCATTATGTTGGGGCTTGATTCGGCGGTCGTGATAAGGGGTGGAGCGGTTCTCTTGGTTCCTGTAACCTGCTCCATCCTTGGTTCTGATATTGACGCCTTATCTAGATTCTTCAAAATATTTTAAATTTCCAGATACACAACACCTATCCAATCATTAACTATAACTTCCCCCACTTCTCCAAATAAACAAACCGGAAATTCCTCTTCAAATACTTCAAAACAATTCCATGTTCCCCATGAAAATTCTCAAAAACAACGCAAAACAAATGAGGATGCTAGTGGGGGTTTAACTGAATCAGAAGAGAAAATGAGTGATCAAGAAAAATTAGCTAATTGTTATGTTGATGCTTCTTTGCAAGTGAAAAATTTCTACATACTTTTCGAGCCTATATTTTCCCAAATTTTGTGGTGTACCTAGGCCTTACAGCTTTATAGCGGTTTCACTCCCAAGATAACGTTTATTAGAACCGAAAAAGCATTAGATACAATACAAGTTGAATAATTAAGTTTCGAAATGTGTTTCTCGATAAGCATGTTGGGGTCATCTTTTGTTGATTGCTTCTCTAAATTAACAAAGAGAAGCAATCAGCCACTAAAACCTTTGTTTTTGTCCCTCATCCGAATTCCTTGCCCTTCCTCGTAGGTATTTTAAGGAAGAGAAAGACCCAGCTGGCAAGCATTTAAAACGCTCACTAGGCGGGGGTTTAAGATCTATTAAAAGATAAGGTGAAAGCAGCGTCCCGGTAGCTTAGTTGGTAGATCACCTGTACGTGGTGAGCGAAGTCTGTCCGGGATTAAACTTTTACCTCGCTCTTACTGTATATAATCAACCTAGATTTTTCTCAAAATATTTAAAAATTAAAAATTCTTTTTAAATCTCTTATTTAAAGTTATTAAACATCTGTGCACAACTCCAAGCTAGAGCAGCAAACATTTACAAAGACTGGTCTGAAACAAATGAAAGTGTAAAAATTGATGAAACAGCTACAAAAACGACAGAATTGTGGTCAAAATATTGGAGGCCATTAATGCAAGCAATTGCCAGAATGGCTTGTGATTGTAGACGATTAATAAGGAAACAGGCATTGGAGGCTCTAGGGGTAATTACAAATAAGGAGAAATTATTAAATTGTAAATAGTGCCCGGCCCTGTGCATTGTCGTTTGGCATTTTACTTATGCCTAGTTAAGACATCAAGACCTAGTTAAAACTCCAAAAATATTTATTCTTTTTAGACTGCATTTCGAGTACCTGCATTGGGTGAACTTATGATCCCTGCCGATTGGGAAGATTGCTTTGCTGAAGTTCTCTTCCCTTTGTTGAGTCGATTACTTACTGGGTAAAAATTAATTTTTTTGTCTGATTTAATACTAAAAATAAAATGTTTGAGCTCTTAATATTTTTATCTCTTGGCCCCTTAAAAATTTTTTAACTATCAATAGGGAATATTGGAATATTGATAGGGGGGGGGGTAGCCCACCAATTAAATACCTGGGGTATAATTAAATAAACTATCGTAGCAGCCTCCACTTTCGGGAGCAAACATGTCGGTGTTTAGGTTAGGCCCGGAAATAAACTATGGAAGATTCCGAAGGGTCTGTTCATTATATAGAGGTTTATACTTAAATATTAGGGGTGGCGCAAGTGTCATAAAATACGAGACACGAGATTCGCTAGATACGAGACGAGCGTCACCCCTGTTAAATTCTTTCTTTTACCAATTTAGTAGCCCACCGATTTCCCCTATGGATCCAATTGGAATGGAAGAGGCAAGAATTCGAGCGATTCAACTTGCTTGTAAAGTACTTTTGGGGAATCTTACAAAAATTACGAGGTGTTTCAAAGAAATTATTTTTAAATATTTTTTAAAAATAGTTTAAAATCCTTCCCCGATTTGTTCCTACGCCTTTTTGATTTAATGGACCAATTTTTGGAAGAAAATGCTTGCAGCGATTTGCTAGCGGAAGTTATACAAGAATCACTGAAAAATTGTTTGAAAAAAATTTTTTCGAAAATTAAAAATTTTTTTAAATTTAGGTCTTCTAGTTTGCGAAAATTTTGGAGTTTTTCAAGATCCAATTGAAGGATTAAAAGCAGAAATAAGTGGGAGATTGGAAGCGTTAACTGTTAAACATTCAAACTCTGCTAGTTCAAAAGGTGTATAAAAGAGAAAAAAATTTCTTTTGATTAAAGATTTTTTAATTTAATTATCGGCTGTGATTTTTGGTGTTAGAATAAATATGTTTTATGTATACATAGTCAATTTTGGATTGTTCATGGAATACCTAACATTTCATTATAATAAAATTTATTGTCAGTCTAATATTGTTAAAAGTAGAGCCCCCAGCAGTACGGATTTCCCGCATTCCGCGTCACTATACCATTGTGGGGAATAGTGAAAATTTACACAATGTATTTTGCCGTCTTTTGACCTTTCTGAGAAATTTTTGCCGCAATTTTCTGTTTTTCGTCTGTATGGTTGAAATGAAGCGGCTCCGAAAAATATTGGTAACGGAGCCAATTTAAATAAGGTCGAACCCGAAGTCATATGTAGCGTTCGATTAAGCTTATCGAGACTAATCGAATGGTATGTATTTTTTATCCTTTGTTTCTATTAAAATAGATTCTTAATGAATCTATTTTATCCTTTGTTACCCATCCATGCAAAAATTCTCGTCGGGGTAGGGATCGAAAAAAGTCTGGGTGTCATTTAATTACCCATCTATGCTTTAAATATTATCTTGTAAAACTTTTATAAACAATAATTATAAATATAGGTATATATAAACTTTATAAACAATCAACATTCTAAATTATGTAACTTTTTATATTCGTCTCTATATTCAGCACTACTTGAAAATGTTCTTTGATATAAACAGAAAATTTGAGGCTTTCCAAGTTTACATGGCTCGTCTTTCTCCAACTAAAAAATTTTTGTTTGAAGTTAAAGTCGGATATTAATTTTTCAAACAAAGTAGATCCACAGCAATGGATTTATTGTTGGAATAAAGGGCTGGACTTAGCCGCCTATGGAATTACTCCAATAATGAATGCACTCGATTTTAGATTAAATATTTTTAGCCTTAAGCGCCCGTACAATAAAATCGGGGTTATTTGTACGGGTTAAATAAGCCCCAACTCCGGGTAAATCCGCACAATATACATTTTTTTACCACGAGTTGAGGGTTATTTAACCCTCGGGTAAGGGTTAAATAACCCAAAACATGAATTTCGTGTCGACGCAGAAGACCCACAGACAGAAGACCCAAGGACAGAAGACCCACAGACAAAAGACCCACAGACAGAAGACCCACAAGGACAGAATACCCACAGACAAAAGACCCACAAATAATTTTTGTTTCCCTTTTATTGTGCATAAATTTTGGCGCAAGGGATGTTCCACAATAAGGGGTTGATCCAACCACGGGCATGTTATTTTAACAATGGAGATTGTTGCAACAACGGGGGGAGTTGTTCCAACGATGGGATTATTGTCACAATTACCTGAGAGCTTGTTTAACGAAGAGGGATCTTGATTTTCCGGATTATCGGGATTTTTATCAGGAAAATCCAGTCCATGTCGTGTAACAAATCGTATCCGATCAGGTTCAGATATAAAAAAATAGTATAAAAATAGCTAATTGGCGTTCCAAAATTCTTAGAATTCGCACCTGTATCGTTAAAAATGTAGAAAACTGGCTTCTTGGCCTTTCAAAATTTCCAAAATTCCTGTCTGTAACGATGAAAGGGAAAAGTAGATCAAAGGGATATTTAGAATCAAGGGGTATTTAGGATTAACTGGATTATAGCGAGAGTCAGTTAAGTCCACATGACGGATCTAGAATGATTAGAAGCAATCAAGGATATTGGAGATATGCAAGGATATCTGGGATCTTTGGGATAATAGGGACCCCTATATTCTCTATATCCCACGCTATTCCTATATATCCCAATTAAACACTCGACTCTTAAAATCACTTTCTAATTAAATGATCTAAATCGCACTCATCCATAAAATTTAACGCTAAAAATTCTTTTGATTAACTTTATAATAAATTTTTTATATTAAAATTTATTAATTTTGTGCCTTGAGAAATTGGAAACCTTTTTCAGGAATTTCAGAAAATTTCTTCTAAGTTATAGTTAAAAAATTTTCTTGTGGGTCTTTTGTCTGTGGGTATTCTGTCCTTGTGGGTCTTCTGTCTGTGGGTCTTTTGTCTGTGGTTCTTCTGTCCTTGGGTCTTCTGTCTGTGGTTCTTCTGTCACTACGCCCATGAATTTATTGTACGGGCCAAGAGTGAAATCGAGATTTAATTTTATTAAAAATAAACAAACATCTCCAACTCGAAAATGTTTATCTGCATGATCATAGCGAGAAACATTTCCTTTTTCAGCTAATATTCCAGTATATAAAGCATCTTCAATATGAATAGCAAACACTTCTTTAGTGTGTCTCATTAAAGAAGTGATCGCTTTACTGTTTCCAAAGTAGGTAGAACCGTGCATATATTCTGGGTACATCTCCATTGGGATTTCCTTTTCAGATACATACCTGAAATAATTTAATTAATTGTTAGGTATGTGTGGGTCTAGTATAAAAGCAGTCCGTAGAGATCAGTCTCTTCGTCACCTCGGCCGACCGTCGCCGCCTGTACTTAGTTATTCTCACTTTATTCTTGTATTTACTATTCGGATAAACGTGTTATTCTATTCCTGTGTTATACTGTTAGTCACTAGGTAAGGGCGCTACCTTAGGACATAATATTAATCACTCGAGTATTCATTATAAAATATAGGGTTGCTGCTAAGGATTTAAAGTCGGAACGGGACAGTATCATTTACTGGATTTTGTGGAATTCAGTCCCAGAGATATAGTTTTCTCTGCAGTTTTTTGAATTAATCCGACATCGTTTACATCACACAAAACAAATCTGTGCCGATAAGTACCATTTATTCGTTTTATCCCTTATTGTAGGTGATTCATCTATTAAATATCCAAAAAATGCTAGGCCAGTTCTTGTTTTATTCAATTGTTTTTTAAATTTGTTTTCATTCCAGAATGCCCAACGAGGCAAATCAATGATAGTATCATCATCAATTTTCATTACATATTCTGCATTAGTGCACCATTTTTGTTGCCATTGAAAAGCAACACCTGTCTAATAAATATGTACAAAATATTTTTATACGTTATAACGACTTCCCGATTTATACATTGTTCAGTGAATTTTGGGTTTAGGAAACGTAGTTCAGGAAAACGTCAATAGAAACCCAGTTTCAGAAAACTTGGAGGTTTCTTAATTAATTCCTGGAACCATTAAAATCTCAAGTATCCGGATTATGATGCCAAGGAGAATAAACTTGGAGAATACACTTGATTTATTGAACGATAAATTAGTATTATTTATTTTAATTTACT